ATCCGAAGCAAGCTCCAGGCTCTGAACTGACAGCACAGAACCCAACGTGGGGCTCGAACTCATGGACCTTGAGATCATGACCTGAACTGAAGTCGGACACCCAACCAAGCCACCCAGATGCCCCTCGTCCAACCACTTTTAACCAAAAATCAAAATGTGACATGTTGGTGAGCCTTACCTATCTGGTTTCTTTGTTTTGTTTTGTTTTGTAAATACTGAAAATAGCTACAGACTACCTATTTTTTCCATATATTTTTTAACAGCTTAACTGTGATATAATTCACATACCATAAAGTCCACCCTTTTCAAAGTATATAATTCAGTGGTTTTTAGTATATTCCCAGAGTTGTGCAGACATCACTATCTAATTCCCTTACCTCAAAGGAAATCCTATACCCATTGGCAGTCCCTACCCATTCATCCCAACCCGAGCCCTAAGTGACCACCAATCTATTTTCTGTCACTGTGTATTTATCTATTCTGAATATTTCACATAAATGGGCTCATATACGGCATGGTCCTTTATGTCTGGCTTCTTTTGCTTAGCATAATGTTTTCAAGGTTTATCCATGTTGTGGCATGAGTCAGCCCTTCATTCCTTTTTATGGCCGAGTAATATCCCGTCATATTGATATGCCGCAGTTTATTCATCCATACCTCAGTTGTTGAACATTTGAGATGTTCCACTTTGGGCTACTGTGCACATTTGTGTTCAAGTTTCTGTGTGGGCAGGTCTTCATTTCTCTTGGGTACAGACCTAGGGGTGTGAAGATGCCTGTTACTGGGGAGCACAGATGGGTTGACCTCTGGTTCATGGTTCCTGGTTTACAATAACGTTAAGTATTCACCAGTGATGTATTTGGTTCAAAGATAGGCATTTTCGGTTGTCACAACCTTTGCATAAATGTTCATACCATACTTATATTTAGTTGTTCGTATTTATTTATGCAGTTAAATTAACTAGAGCATCATTCCTGAGCCCATCTCCTCACGAGAGGGTCTGCATCCTTTATACAATGACACAAACATACTAATTTCATTTTTTTCACCAGAAATGGCTGTGAGTCAGCCTACTCTGGAGACTGATCAGTCCTGAAGGCCAGCCTAGCTCCAGCCACGTCCCATCTAGAGAATGAAGGGTCTGTGCTACGCTTTAAAGAGTGACTTGATTTTCTCCTATCACGGGTGAAAGGGTGAATGGTTTAGCCTCGTGTTCTTGGAAAGGATCCACAGAGACAAAAAGATTCACTGAGAGCTTTCCCCCAACTTGCCTCATCCGAATCCCTGGCCCTCTGCAGTCCTTCCCAGTCCAGATCTCCAGAAACTATATCTATAGTTTTAGGACCCATATTTTTAACCTGCTATTGACCTGCGTGGTTTCTCTCAGCAGGCAGATTTGGGAAATGCAGATCTACACCTCCCTGCTCAGTCAGCTCTATAGGGCTTGGGAGGAAGTCAGCTGGCAGCAATACGGCCCCAACTCCAACCCCAGTTAATTTAACCTATCTACTGGGATTACCCCAGGATCCCAAGTGGCCCTCATCTGAAAAGATTTTTAGCATTCCACAGGCCCCAGTTGGCCTCTAGCCTTTCCCAACTGCCTCTCTGTGCCCCTTTGGAACCTCCTTTGAGGACCTCTCCTCCAGTTCCTTTCAATGATCCTCATCCTCGCCCTCCTTTTTTCCCAAGCTCCTGTGAGGGCCTTACTGCCCTCAGGGGGGGTTCTCACACAGTGGTTCTTGAGAAGGGATCGTTAGCCCCATCAGCTGTTTCAAAGTATAGGCCCAATCCTGAGACCCTTTCAGGAGGCCCCCCAAGGTCCAACCTATTTTCAGAATTATACTCTTTTTTTGTATTTGTGTCTTTTAAGACTCCCATTCTCTGGGGAGTTATCCAGAGGCTACTGTTATCTGGTAAAAGCATCACCAATGGAATATGGGCTTCTGTATTCTTGTGTTTTACAATTTTCTCAGTTTTAATTTCTAATATGATAATAGATACAATAGATATAATCCACATAACCAAAACTCAATAATTTTTAAAAATGTAGAGGGATCATTAAGACCAAATACCTTAAGAACCACTGGCCCAGATGAATCTCTACTGGATGATAATTACTACTTTGATACATGATTGGGGGCTGCTTAAGGAAGGGGAGGAAATGGGGGGAGGGCTGAAGTGAAGAAAAAGCAAGGGAAGGGAAATAGCGAGGACCAGAGGAGATGGAGGCAGGGGGTAGGCATGGGAAAAAGAGAAGAGAGAGAGGGGATAGGAAGGGGTGGTGGGGCAGGAAGGATGGTGGACAGATGGAGGAAACAGGGAACTGTTGTTGAAGATGTGCCAAAGGCTGAGGTAGGTGCTTTACATATTTTAGTGTTCTCCCATTCTACACATGAGGAAACTGAGGCTGAGAAATTCAGGTATCATGTATCCTATGATAGAGGTACAGCTGGGTCTGAACCTAGGTGCACACCCTTTGTCACCATGCTGTCCCCATCTAACTTACAGATGGGTCCTGGTATCAGTGGTGTCACCTTCCAGTCAGCTGGCCAAGTAACCGTGAGAGTCCGGGGCACAAACACCTTTATGACCTTTTGCTGCCTTTAAGCCACTTGTAATCTAGGGAAGGTGTGGAGGAGGTCAAGGGGTGAAAGAGGGAAGTAGATAGGGAGCGCCTGCCTCTGGTCTCTGGCTCATTCCAGAAGAGGGCTGGCAGCTGGGCCCCACTTCTGCGAGGCCAGCAGCCCACGCCAAAGCAGCTGCCTTGATTTCAGTTCACAGGTATTTCCCATAAATGCCCATCACCACACCCCTCCTTACCTGACCCACCCTTCTTGCCTAACCATTCTCTAGCTGTGCACACCCAAGGGTACATCCATATGGACCCTTCACCACAACTGGTTTGGTAGTTTGCCCCCAAATCCTTTAAAAAAAAAAAAAAGGAAAGAGAAGAAAAACTGATTAAAAAACTCCACTCAGCCTTATTTTCAATATGCAAAATACAATTTATTACCGGAGTTACCCTGGAGTCCCCACATGGTGTGGTATATTCCAAACCAAGTATTTCATTAATAAATACTAAACAACACCCACTGTGAAATCAAATACTTACCGTGGGTGGTGGTTTACTGCCAACGTGGGTAGGCGAGTGTTCTAGGGAATGCGTTCATCGTTTTTTGTCCCCCAAAGCTTTTTTAATTGGAAAGTTATGGGCCATTTTTGCACATATACTGAAGATGCTCTCTGCCTCTCCAAACATAACCTTGAATTTGCCTCCCCATAGTCTAGATGACTTTTCTTTTGTCCTGTATTCCTTCACTTCTAGGAGGTCCCGGTCAGAGTGCAGAGACACTAAAGGGTCTGTAGGAGAGAGGGAAGGGGATGCTATAACTAGGAGACCAGGAGCAAACTCTGGGATGTTCTGGGAGTGCAGCTTGGGAATTCTGTGAGACACACTCAGGGGCCTGGCCCTTAATCAGCTGGCAGGAGCTGGCTAGGCCCATTTCCCTGAGCCCTTGCCCAGACTGGATTCCACTGGGCAAGGGGAGAGAAGGTGGCTCATTCTGGGCTCTTTGGAGTCAAGCAGGGGCCTTGTACATTTCTTTCTCTACCCCAAGGCCTGCTGTGTAGTAAAACCCTCAGTAAAATGTTTGCTTGGCAAATGACTGAATCTAACCATTATATTTACTTGAAAATAATTAATGGAAAAGCTAGCCTAGCTGATTTTTGACTGGCCCATTATGATACCTGAACCAGTAGCTTTGAGGGCGGGCCTGGCACATGCCCTGATGTTTGCAGGAGGCCCAGGGCCAGACGTGTCTGATGGCCATGCCCTGCTCCAGCTCTGGGAGGGCCTCTCTGAACAGCAGGGCCAGAACTACTACTAGGAGAAGGGCCAGGCTGGAGCAGGGCCAAGAGAGGAGACTGGATGACCCACGGCCCTCAGCACACAAGCCCAAGGGCACCACAGGACCCCAGACCACCCCCAGGGCAGGCCTCCACTGGGAATGACTGTTGGCGTGTGAGGTGACCTTCTGTTTGATTAAGTAATGCATGCCATGTTTATGAATGAAAGAAGAGCCCTCAACACCTTAAAAAAGGACAAAGGGATCCCGTAACAAAAATTCTTGGTGTCTTCCAGAAGGAAACGCTGAATTTCAAATAAAGACAAGGTATTTTTTTATGTTCTTTTTTCTCAATATAAGAGCAGTAAAGACATTATTACTCAAGACCTATCAGTTAATTTGCATATGTAATTACTTTTTCAATGCAATAAATATGAATATACTTTATATGGATATGATCTACTTTAGCCTGAGTGGATGCTATTAATTCTAGAACATCTACTATTACTAACAGGTTTTTAAATAAGTTTGCGGTCTTGTGTTCCTGCACAGAAAGGTTCTGGTTGCTCGGAGAAGCATTTGTGTCACAAACAGCATTCAGCTTTACTCTTCAATGACAGGAAATATCCTGTCCAAGTGATTGCATCATCACAGAATTCATAAATCAAACATCCTGTCCACTCAATGCCTATCTCTCCTTCATTTAGAACTGTTCACAGAGATGGAAATGTTTGATCTGAAAAAGACACTACCAGACTGAAAAAAATTTTTACAATAAAAAAATTTTTAAAAAGTGATTATGTCCAGGGGCACCTGGGTAGCTCAGTAGGTTAAGCATCCAACTCTTGATTTCGGCTCAGGTCACGATCTCACAGGTTCATGAGATCGAGCCCTGCATTGGGGTCTGTGCTGACAGCACAGAGTCTTCTTGGGATTCTCTCTCTCTCCCTCTCTCTCTGCCTTTCCCCCACGCATGCACATATACTCTCTCTCAAAATAAATAAATAAACTTAAAAAAGTGATTATTTTCCAATGACATTTGGAATTGGAATCTTCTATCACAGACTAGTCAGTACAGTCTGCCCCATGTAGTGCATTAAGATCAGCACTTCTAGAGGAAGGTTCCAAAGACAGTGCACACTGAGAGGAATCAGATTTTAAAGTGCTCTGAAAACAAATTTCATTTAAGGAAGTACTACAGGATATGTTAAATGCTGAATCCTGTTGGTAATAGAATGAGATGAGACTATATAACTAGAATAACCTTAAAAATGGATAAATTTTAAAAAGTGTTCAAAATGCAAGACACTGTACTTGAAGGTGTCCTAGTGCTGGAGGCTCACACCAGTATCTTTCCAAGGGTGGTAGTTTTAATGGTAATATTGGGGACGCTGAGTGAACTTCAGCCATAGAGTTGCTCCTTTAAGCTAAGTTGCAGTAGCCCTCAGATCCTCTAGAAGAAAGATCTGTTTACATGTGATGATTTCAAATTCTACTCTCAGGTGTGCATTGTGAAGAGACGATTAAGCCCAGACCTGCAAAGACACGAACACAAACAGATAATTTGTAGTCCCTTAGTAGTTATTGACTTGCAAAACTGGAGTTTAAAGAGAGAAAATCAACATTAAACACACACACACACACACACACTCACACCCCACATCCAAAATAAAGCACTCACATGTCTTGGATGGATTACACCTTACTCCTGGTAACTCAAAGGTACTTCTTTGGGCCTATTCCCCCAGTCCCACTTAGTTAATCATCTGAAGGGCATCTGTGCTTTCTTATTAGGGACTTATAACTCTTAGGCTAAGTACCAAAACCATCTGTACCCACATTGAGTACATTAACATGACTACTAATTTAGGAAACTTGCCCAGGAAGATAAAGTCACAGAAAACTTTGTTGTTTTAGGAACTTCACAAAAATCCTTTAATGTACTTATCCTAAGAGTAGATGACTCAACTACTCTCTTTAGAGAAGGCCTCTCTCAGGCCAACACAGAGCATCAAAAATGATTGGTTACTTTTCAAGACTGTCTTCAAAATCCTCTTCCTCCCCCAACACTGTGTCCAGCAATCTTTAAACTATTATGCCACAAATTTGTCCAATCCTAATTAAATCCCTGCATCTGGTCTTAAACCAGACTCCCCAGCCCCGCACCTCATAAACATCTGTCTTTGTATCCCCTTCCAAGACTGCCACTAAGATTGTCACGTTTGTGCTTTGTCCCTTAAATTTAGCTTTGCATTATGAATAGGCCTATTTTGGAGATATTTCTGGGGAGCCAACATCCAACAAAATCATAGAGCTCTTTGAGAATCTGATGAAAGCCAAGAGGACACTTTTACCAGAAAAACAGGCACACATGAAATATGACATATAATTTCAAGAGCTTCATGGGTCCCCTAAAGCCCCCCTGTGGGTCTCACAGGGCTATGTCACCGTGGGATAAGAACCCTGAACTATTGGGGGCACTCTGTGGTTTGCCAAAGGCTAGAATCAGAAGAATCCTACTTGTAGGATCAGAGGGAATCTTTTGGATCACCTACCCCAATTATTACCTCAGTTACATGCCGATACACAGTTTAATCTATGCCTGAACACTTACACTGAGGGGGAATTCACTATCTCCCCAGGCAACTCATCCCTTCTGTGGCCATAGAGCTGAAATTAGAGCTCTTTCTGGCTGACACAGCCCAGCCTACATTACCCTCAGTCTCTGCTTTAAGAAGGCCAATGACTTCTCCTCTCACACACACACAGTAAAATAGAAGAGCTGCTCTCTTACTCTTAGGGTATGATCCCATGACCCTGAGCAGAAAGCAGTCCCGTCGGGGGAAACTCGTAGAGTGCTAACGCGGTTTTCATGTCCAAACAGGATGGAGACTCTGGACCCCTTGAGAACATCCCAGACATTGATGGTATAATCATTGTATCCAGCAAACAGCAGGCGACCTCAAAGTAGAAGGACATGATGGTTACTGAACCAGTTCCTCCCTTTGTTTTTCTTTTCATGACTTTTCACTGACTCACTCATGCAGTCACTTGCCCATTCATTCAACAGTGATTTAGTGCCCGCTATGTGCCAGGCAATGTGCTTTGCCCTGGGGATTCAGAGAAGTTGCTGCCCCTTGTGGATGGTGGTGGTGGTGGTAGGCAGGCAGGCAGGCAGGCAGACAAACACCTAAATTAACACATGGTAGCACTAGATGATAAGGGCTGTAATGGAAGTGCTTAGCTGTGTGTGAAGTGCTGTGTGACCATGGAGGAAGGGGGATCAAGGAGGGCACTGCAGAGGAAGGACATGAGTTGGCTCATGAGGGCTGAGTAGGAGTTCACCAGGCAGAGAAGGGAGGCAAAAGATACCGTAGGCAGCATAGCAGCATGCACGCATAAAAGCACGGATGCAGAATGGGGGCTGTGTCTGGGGAAACTGAATGGTCCTATCAGTGCTGCTCTTTCACTAGCAGCCTCCCCAGCAGTGAGGTCAGAGGAGCCATGAGCTTTGGGGCATTGAGAAAGGGACTGCTGCTTCACCCCCTCCACCTCTGAAGGTATGAAGGGGAGAATGGAAGGCGGAGGAGGAAATGACTAATTAAAGGCACTACAGATAGGAAGTTTCATACAGCATTGTCTCAAAGAACAGCATTAGGTGGGCATAGCCTTCATCTCCCTTAAAATGAACAGGATAGGGGAGGCCACTTCAGGTAGGGTGAGGTGGGGTGGGGGGTCGTGGAAGAAAACTGGTGCAGATGTAGATTGCTTAACAAACTGGTTCATAGGAAGTTCAGCTGAAAGCTGGATCGAGAGCTGGGTTTCATTTAGGTCCTGTCTTACAGTCCCAGGAATGTTTCTGAAATAAAATCTTACCACTGAGGGAGAAGTCCACACTGGATGCTCCAAATATGATACTCTCTTTGGAATAGATGGCGACCTCCCTGTCTGCCCGGAGGTCGTAGAGGCGACACTGGTGTGACAAAGAAGATAAAGAAGCACTTATTTCTGGCTCTGGGTTGGTGAAGAGATGACCACAGGGCTATATGCAGGTGCTGGTGGCTTGTGTAGTTTGAGGGATAAGGGAAATATCTCCAGTTTTCTCCCCTAGTAGTTTCTCCCTTAATTCTGATTCCTAATAATCTGCATGGATCAGTACAGATTCAAAGAAACAGCAAATACAGAAGACTTTTGGGGTACAAAAGCAAAAATGAAACCCTTCTTTTTTTCTGATAAAGGATACATATTCATTGTAGAAAATACAGAAAAATGCAGAAATGCCTAAAGAAGGAAATAAAAACCACCCCAAATCCTGGAAGTATTTACTAACATCTAGGCTATTTCCTTCAGTCTTATTTCCATTTTGTGTGTGTATTTAAATGGAATGGGTATCTCATAATTCTATTAACATTAGGTTATGAGTTTTTTTTTCTCATATCATTAAATAATCTTCAAAACCACATGACTAACATGGTTGTTGCATATTCCTCATGTGGATGTATCAGAATATGTTTAACCATGCCTTTTGATTGTTATCTAATTTTTCTCTTTTATAAATAAAAGGTTAATGACCATTCTTTTTTTTTTAAGTTTCTTTATTTTTGATAGAGAGAGAGAGGTGGAGAGAGAATGCACGAGCAGGGGAGAGGCAGGGAGAATCCCAAGCAGGCTCTGCACTGTTAACAAGGAGCCCCATGTGGGGTTCAAACTCACAAACTGTGAGATCATGACCTGAGCAGAAATCAAGAGTTGGATGCTTAACCAACTGAGCTACCCAGGTGCCCCTTGATGATCATTCTTCTGTAAAAATCTTTATGCACATCTCTGATGTTTCCCTTATAATAGTTAAGGAATAGAGTCCTTAGAATAAAACTGTTTCCAAGAAATAGTATGACCAGATCAAAGGGTAGAGATGTTACAAAAGCTCTTGATTTGTATGGCAAAACTGTCCTCTGTAAGGGTGGTACCAATGGTCCTAACTCCAGGCTCCTTTACCACATCACCTCCACGATGCAGCATTTCACTGCTAATCCAAATGAGCAATGATCACTTAAACTTGCATGTATTGGGTTACAGGTGGTCTGAAAACACTTTCAGGTGCTTGCCATGTCAGATGTACTGCTTTGTAAACAGTCTGCATTGTATCCTCTTTTTTTAAAATTAGGGTATTATCTTACTGATTATGCAACCCCATTTATATCTAATAGATTTCAATTTGGTCTGTCATATAGGTGGCAAGAATTTTTCCTAGATGTATGCCCTTATAATTTGTTACACATTTTTTGGCATACGGAAGTTTTAAATCTTTATTATTGTTAAAACATTCAATCTACCCCTTTGTACTTTCTTCCATAGGACCAAATTAAGATGAAACTCACTATAATATAATAAGATATTACATATTTATTTTATTTTATTTTTTTAGATATTACATATTTTGAGGGCACCAAAGGAAACTTTTTTCTCTAGAAAAATAGGTCAACATAACTTGACAGTATCAAAAGCCTTAAAAGTAGGTCTATTTTTGACTTAGCAAGTTCATGTCTGGGAATTAATTCTAAGGAAATAATAAGTACCAAAAATATTTACTTAGAGCAGCATTTTTTAACAGAAAACAAAATCCCTGAAAGACCTGAATGTCCAAAAATTGACTAAAGTACATTATAGCATGTCAATAACATGGAATACTATTCAATCACTAAGAAAATATAATTTAGAAAAGTTAATTACTGACACACGAAAGTGTTCACAGTCTATTGCTAAATGAAAAAAAAGCAAATTATAAAGCACTTTGTTAAAAAATAAGAAAGACAGAAAGGAATTCACCCAACTGTGATTTTTCTTGGGTTAGGAGATTAAGATATTTGAATCCCCCTTCCAACTTTTCCTCAATGAATTCACATTACTGTAATAAAAAAAAAAGGTTTTTTTGAAAAATAAAATTAAACCACTGCATCTCTCTCTCAAATAGGAAAAGCTCTCTAACTTGGAAACATACCGTAGCATCATCTGATCCTGAAGCAAAGGCATCTCCACTTGGGTAGTATCTGTAGAGACAAAGTTTGAGTAGAAAGCACTTTATTTAGAGTGGTGATTCCCAATTCTTCTTTTTTTTTTTTTTTTTATCTTATTTTTAGAGAGGGAGAGACAGCGTGCGAGCGGGGGAGGTCTAGAGAGAGAGAGGGAGACACAGAATCCAAAGCAGACTCCAGGCTCCGAGCTGTCAGCACAGAGCTGGATGCGGGGCTCAAACTCATGGACAGTGAGATCATGGCCTGAGCCAAAGTTGGACGCCCAACCGACTGAGCCACCCAGGCACCCCTGGTGATTCCCAATTCTGAATGTCCATCAGAATCATCTGGAAATCATCTGAAAGGTTGTTCCATGTGAAGCCCATGGAATTGGAATCAGAATCTCCACTTCTAGGGACACAAGGACCACTCTTTACAGAGGCCAGAAAGGGAAGCTCATCTGGCTGGCCTACTGACCTCTAGTTTTCTTCCCTATAAGTAGGGGACAGTGACAATGGCCTTGCATAGTGTGGGTGAGGAGTAACTGAGATAATACGTGTGTCTGCACCAGGCAGTGAACACAGAACAGGCCCCCTGTAACCGTAGTTTCCGTTGATCACACACCTCATTCCTGGGACTTGGGTCAGCTCAGAGATAAGAAAGTGATTATCCACACAGATGCTGGAATCAGATACCCAGAGCCTTGCTCAGATCTATGCAATGATCCCTTGCTACATGTGATACCTCTGGCAAAGGACTTCATCTCACCCAGCCTCAGTTTCCTCATTTGAAAAGTGAGGATGATAATGCATTTTCCCTGTTGTGGAGATTCAATAAGATAGTATAGGCAAAGAACTGAGCATGGTGCCAAATAAAAAGCATTCAGCAAATGATGGTTATTAATGTTACACTCATTGCCTTCTCAGTAATCAGGCTTCCTGGGGAGAAGGAAGTTTAAATTGAGACCTAATGGATATTAGAGGAAGAGATGTCAGGGTAGGGGGAACAGCATGGGTGAGAGAATGTGCATTTTAAAGCTTTATTTTGTGAGTATGTAATGATTCAATTTATTTTGTGGCTTTATATTCTATCCTGCATCTTACCAACTTCATTTACCATCTGTATTAGTTTTCTATGATTTTCTAGGTAATCACTGCACATTTGCCAAAAGTAAGTGTCTTTCCCCTTTATCTCTATCCTATAGTTGAGGGCAAAGAGCTAGAAAATTCTTGCAAACATTTCTATTGCTCACGTAAATAAGCACTGTTATCTTGTTCTTGCTTTTTAGGAGAACAAGTCTAGTGCTTTCTCACTAAGTATAATGAAGATTCTTGGGTGATTATATTTCAAATACCGTCTTGACAGTGCCATCTTCCAAATTTACATGTCAAGTCCTCACCTCTCTCTTGGGACCAGTTCATAGATTCCTACCTACTCAATGTCTCCACTTCATTGTATACAGGCATCTCAAATGTAAATATCCCCAAACAGAACTCCATCATCCATGTGCAATGACTGACTCATACCTGCACTTCCTCCAGTCTTCCCTGTCTTAGTAAATGGATCACTGCTTACTGACCCGTATAAAAGGTTTGGGTTCCCAAGCTCAGAGTTCTTCTCCTGTAATGCAACCCCTGGCCTGTGCAGGTGTCATCTGGCCCTCTCCATTTCACCCTGTGGAATTGGGGCTCAGGAAACCAGCATCAAAAAAGCTGATACCCTGGCTGATGCCATTGCTAGGAGTAATAATAAACTGTCCTTAATCTTGCACTCAGGAGTCTCATGTCTTCTACCAGCATGCTTGAAACTGTGGCAGCCTAAATTGATAGCTTGCAGCTAGGGTAAAATCTCAGAAATGTCACAATTCTGGACCTTTCTGTCTCCACAATGTCTTCTTTACTTCCAGCCACCATCACCTCTTTCTTGGACTCACACAACAACTTTCTAATTGGCCGTAGTACTTCCATTCTTGCTTCCCTACACTCTCTTCTCCAAACAGCAGCTGGAGTGATCTCTTAAAGGCAAAACAGAGGCAATGTCAGCCACCCCCTACCTGGCCTGTGGTTAAGTCCTCCACATCTCATCTTACCACCCCAGCTCAAGCCTTGGCTCTTTCAAACATCACTTTCTCAGAGAGGTCTTCCCTGATCATCCTAAGTAATAACCCATCCCATCCCATCTGCCTATTTTACTTTTCTCATAACACACTTATCACTAGCTTAAATTAAGTTGTACATTTGTTTATTTGTATTTGTCTTGCCTCCTGCAGGGAAGTAGAGACCTTGTCTCTGGAACAATGTCTAGCATGTAAGTCTCAATAAATATTTGCTGAATAAATGAATGGGAAATACTGACTGTTTAGGGAGGATAATATCAATTGCTCCTACTGCCATTAAATTAAAAATATCCAAGCGATCTGGCACGCTGTTCAGTGCCACCACAAATCAGCCATTCTTGCTGGAGAGACCTCTCTCAGCCAGGTAAACTGAGTCTGGAGGTGGTTCCTGGGCTGAGCAGGAACCCCAGGCCAGGGATTACCAGCAGAACAGAGAAGTTATGTGAACATTCTACTCACTGACCGGACACTGTTGATGTCGGATTCGTGTGTTTCAAAGGCCTGCACGCACTGGCCAGAGCGCATGTCCCACACCATGGCTTTCTTGTCACATCCCTACAAATGCAAAGTTATCCAGAGTTATGGCCAGTGCAAGGACTGTCTACAGATGGGCATGAGTTCCTGTTATGTAACAGAGCCATTTCCTTTCCATTGGTAAATGGCTGACAACATGCTTTTCTGAGACTAGCTTTCCTCAACTGATAAGCCCTTAGAAAGCCAGAACCAGGTCTTGAGAGTGTGGGGGGAGCAACGGAAGGCACCCAGATTTCTCTTTCAGCATGTTTTCTTCTTTTGCACCTTCCCAAGTTGGTGTAAACCCTCCAGAGCCTCCTTCTTGCTTTCCTCCTGGGCATTTCTCTCTTTGTTCTGTTTTCCCCTTCCTCCTTCCTCTGTATCTCTGCCTCTCAGCCCAAGGGGAGGGCAGGCATACAGTGGGTGCACAGTGGGACCGCCCAGCTTCATCTCAGGTGTATGGGGCAGCCCTGAGCAAAGGTGGAGCTGGGCCGTCTATACCTCTGCAGCATGCTGCTGGAGTCATGACCTTGCCAGCAGTTAGTTGGGTATCTCTAGCAACTCACCATCCTGGGCTTCTGCCTCAATACCTGTAAACACTCTCTCTGGGTTGCCAACATGGCCCAGAGATTCATAAACATGAGGTTTTCACATTATACTATCATGGTTCTAGGAGCATTTGACAAATTCCTGCAGAGCAACCCTGTTATCAAGCTTGGGTAGTACAATGTAGACTGTCAATGACCAAATAATAAGTAATGGCTTAAAGTTGGTATTTAAGTTGCTGGTTTCAACTCAGAGAAAAGAGTGCGATGAAGTACCAGAACGGGCATCTCAGGAATACCCACTGTGGGGGTTCAGCACTCTGATTATCTTTAATGAGAATGTGGGCAAAGCAATCAGGAGTGTCTTCCAATCTTTTGAGGACACTAAACCAGAGGGAGTTTACTGCCCTGAGACAATATAATCTACAGTGATACAACAATTTGAAAAGACAGTGTAGTTGAGGAGGGATAAATATAGTTAAAGGCACAGAAATGAAACATACACAGTTGGCCAAATACCCAAAAAGAAAATGGGGTCCCTGCCGATTCCAGGCCTCACAGCCCTTACCTGATGCCCCGAGCTAACATACGGGCAGCTTGGAGCAAAGGGCCCTTATGTCTTCCAGCTACAGACACCATGCAGTGGTGTGTCCAGCACTGTCCTCTCTCACCAGTGTCCTGACTAAAGTGAGACAGGACCTGAGGCAGGTTGGCCTGCTCAGTTCTCTGTTCTTATTCGCCCCTGACATATGTATAACACATGGTCAACTCTTCCACCTACTGCTCATCTAGGAGAACATTCCAGATCCCTCTGTAGACTGAATGTCAGCAGCAGGAGACCCTCACAGCCCAGCACTGTCACTGCCGCTCAAGCAGTGCCAGTGCTGTGGGAGACAGGGGTGTGGAAGTGAGCTGAGGACAATTCCTGCAGCCCCTTCTAGAGAAGTGTCTGATCCAGTCCCCAAAATTGCCAGCATAAGCCTCCTGTGGAGAAAAGGGCCCCTGGGGATTTTCCTTGGGTGTTTACCCCAGACACGAAGGTGTTGCCTGTTTCTGAGGGGGCCAGGTCCAAGCAGAGCACATCGGCCCCGTGCCCATGGAAACTCTGCAGCAGCTGTCCGCTCTCCACGTCCCACAGGGCACATGTGCCATCGCCGCTCGCCGTCAGGATCTGTCCACAGAAAAGGACAGGAAGAGCGTTGTTATTATGACTTCTGTCAGGGGAAGTCAATCAGATGCTTACAGCTGGATGGGGGGTGGGTGGAGGGGGGAAGGAGCCTCCTTGAACACACATGGACACATGCCTCGCTATATGTGGATTCAAGCATAGAAATATTTCTCCTATACTGAGGGGAAAAAAGGTCATTTTTGACAGTCTCAGTGTCCTTGAGATGTGTGTTTATGCACCCTCCAGAGCAGGAAATTCGGAAGGCCTCTGCGCTGTATCTGCAGGGCTGTGTGCCTGCTGGCATGCAGGAAGTGCTCCGTGAGTAGCTGTAGAACAGCACTTGGAGCGCCTCCCACAAGCAGGCCGGATGCTCCAACTGCTTCTCAGACACCAACTGCTCCCCAGCCACCGTGATGCAGGTTAATTTGCACTGAGGGGGGGTGTTGAGAACCACAGTTCTCACAAAATCTGAGGTCATACCAATGCTAATCACTGGACCCCACCCGGAGCAGTTAGGGTCAGGCAGCATTTTCTTAGACACATTCTCCTGTGGCTGCTTCTTTCCAGAGCAGGGTGCTGCCCGAGAAGGTCCTAGGGCCACTGATGAGGCCACACTCATGCACTCATGGATTGAATAAGCATTAGCTGTGTGCTTATGACGTCCAGGTGCTGTGTTAACAGGCATTGATCAGGGTTTGCACAAAGATTATATTTTGGTCTCTGCTCTCCTGGAGCTCAGTTCAACAGACTTGGCCATAAGAACTGACACCAAACTAATTCCCTACCCCTGTGGTAAACAATTCTGAGACCAGGAAGACTTTCCCCGGGCTATGTTCGACAATACTGACACCAAGTAAAAACAACCTAGCTGCTTGCTTCAGGAAATACCTGCTCCTGCAAGATAAGACTGTAAACCAACTCAACAACTTATTTATCAAGACTAACAGCTTGCTCAACAAGACTCACTTCAAGACTCTTACTTTGTGGGGCTCACCAACCCAAAGCTATCAATGCTATAACCAGTCTCCTACCTGGAGAGACCCACCTTAAAATCACCCAGCTTGGACCCCAAAACTCTCCAAGTATCCTTCCCTGATTTCTTCATTTTGAGATGCTATGGAGATTTTGTCAACTTGGGGTTCTCCCTTGCTGCGCTAGGTCTAATAAGCTTGACATTGCTGGATAGCAAGTTTTTCCGAGGATCTCGGCAGACAAGACGATGAGGACTCACAATGGAGTGAGAAGTGCTGAGGTACAGGCAGGCCCATGGGAGGGGCAATCAACCCATTCTGGCAACATCTGAGCTGATCTTCAAGGATGAGTGAGAGCTGACCAGGTGAAGGGGAGGGGACGGAGGGCATGCAGGTGAAAGCCTATCTCTGCACCAAAGGAGAGGTATGCCTGGTATAGAGTGAGGACTTCAGCCTGTAGGCCAGACCGAGCTGTGGGAAGCAAGAGGGTAAGATCAAAGGCATATTTTAGGGAAATCTAAGACCAGTGCAGCACCCCTCAAGCAGCGTCTGATAAGTGTACTTACAAGTACACAGGCCGGCCTATACTGCGAGAGGAACCCTGCAGTACCTGGGGTGAGGGGTGTTAGGGTTTTAACTTTCGTCACAGCCAGTGTGTGTGAGGCTTGGGCTCTAGCTGAGCATAGCCTCGTGTGGCTGGGAGAAAGGCAGCAGAGATCCCAGGATCACAGCCTCTCAGACCCAGCTGCCCATACTGCAGGGCCCGGGGAAGCTTGTCCTGAGCAGCCAAAGGTTGGGGGATCCACAAGGGCTAAGCTCTGGATAGCACAGCCTCCCAAGCCCTACCTTCCTGCTGCTCCCAGGGCCTGAATGAGGTGACAAGACAACACAGGAAGTGGCTCTTGCAGTGAAAGTGCCCACATAGAGAGCCTTCCGTGGGTGGAAATTACTGATGGCTGAGGAAAGCAAATGGGCTCCAGGCTTTAGGAACTGCCAGCATACAGTGCACCCACTGACCGCACTGCACCCCCAAATTCCTTCTGCTGGTGGTGTTCTCGCCTCCTCTCCTTGCTTCCTGTTCTCTTCCCTTTTCTCTTATACCCTGGGCCTAGCACTTAAAAAGAAATTGTGGGGGCGCCTGGGTGGCGCAGTCGGTTAAGCGTCCGACTTCAGCCAGGTCACGATCTCACGGTCCGTGAGTTCGAGCCCCGCGTCAGGCTCTGCGCTGATGGCTCAGAGCCTGGAGCCTGTTTCCGATTCTGTGTCTCCCTCTCTCTGCCCCTCCCCCGCTCATGCTCTATCTCTCTCTGTCCCAAAAATAAATAAACGTTGAAAAAAAAATTAAAAAAAAAATTGTGGTTTATATACACAATGGAATACTACTTGGCAATGAGAAAGAATGAAATGTGGCCTTTTGTAGCAACATGGATGGAACTGGAGAGTGTTATGCCAAGTGAAATAAGTCATACAGAGAAAGACAGATACCATGTGTTCTCACTCTTATGTGGATCCTGAGAAACTTGACAGAAGACCATGGGGGAGGGGAAGAAAAAAAAAGAGAGAGAGAGGGAGCCAAATCATAAGATACTCTTAAAAACTGAGAATAAACTGAGGGTTGATGGGTGGTGGGAGGGAGGGGAGGGTAGATGAGGGGAGGGTGGGCATTGAGGAGGGCACCTGTCAGGATGAGCACTGGGTGTTGTATGGAAACCAATTTGACAATAAATTTTGTTAAAAAAAAAAAAAAGAATATCTTTTCTCTGCAATTAGGAGAGGAGCAGAATCTATTCCCACCCTAGCCTCGCACCCTCCACCTGTACTATCTTGGAGCGCGTTTTCTGCCAGGCAGTGTGGGGAGGCCTAGACTCTCCTTGCAGCCAGAAGTCACTTCGGAGCTCTTCCCGGGAGCAAGAGCTGGGTGGGTTCTGAGAGTTCAAGTTTCTTGGGTGTGGCCTCCAAGGCCCTCATCAGAGCTCCCACTCAGGGGCAGCTCTCAAATTTGGGGAATCTCCAAGGCTGCCAAGCCCCTGCAGCTGTCCACGGGACTCAATCCTCCTTGGCTTCCTTTACGAGGCCCAGGTACACCCGACAAGATGACATAGGCTCGTAAAAGTAACTTATGAGCACACAAGACTTGTGGTCTTAAGACTGGGTCTAAGACCCAGGGTCTTAATTTGGGTGCTTACACGTACAATATGCTACAATTCCCTTTCATCCCTTCTGGCCCACATCCATTCCTGTCCTATAGGAAAGGGCCAATAACCTTCATCTTCTTTGGGGCATCCAAACAATCTGCTTTAAACAATTACCTCACTCTAGCTCTTTAATTTGGGAATTTTCGATACCATATTCTTCAATCAAAGAAATTAATAGTTTTTTAAAAGTTAGGAGTAAATCCTTAATAGTAAAAAAAAATATTTAAAAATACTTTTATTATGTTTGTGATCTTCATTATAAGTAAAAATGGAATTTAAAAGCCCAATGGTCATCACGACAAGTGCACTAAACAGAACCTCTAACTTGCTGTCAGTCATTTATTCTGGAATGTAGAGATTTTGTAGGTTTAACACCATAGTCTTGTACCAGCTCCTTGAGTTTTTCTTTTTCCATCCTTGATCCCCAAAATATAAGGAAGCTTAAGGTTCATTAAGGTACCCCAACCAGGCCATGCATCTGAGTCACCCAGGAAGCTTTGTGTAAATATTAATAATAATAAATAATAAAGTGATAAAACCTAAAATTTATTGATATTTACCAGGAGCCATACTAAGTATTTTATACAAATCACCTCATTTAACCCTCAGAAACCCTTATGAGGGAGGAATTCACTACCATTCTCACTTGCAGGTAAGAAAAACAAAACAGAATAAAACCTTGTTAGGACTGGCCGGTTAGAATACAGTGAAGCCAGGATTTGATCTCAGCTGTCTGACTCTGAGCCAAGACCTTACGTTGCTCTGTCATCCAGATTGCATCCCCACAGGAATAGCCAGCAGGACCTTCTCTACCTGCTGCTAGCTGCTTGTTAGGAGGAAAGCACTTTCTACCTTACAGATGCCCCATTTAATCCCCACTTCCAGCACCCGTGGCCACACAAAGCGAGGGTGATGGGACACAACCCGAGGGACTTCAGATGCCCGAAGACTCACTGTTCTTGCCTCCCTCTGAGCTCTCCTTCATCCAGACTCAACATCCTGTGTGGCTTTAAGTGGCTTGCTCCTCAGGCCCAAAGACCTCTGGTTCTGGCCACTGCAGCCAGCCCAGGCCACAGCACCCCCTACCGTACAGCTCCTTGAGAATCCTGGTGGTAAGCAACAGGTGCAAACGCTGCATCCTCTGGTCAGCAATGAAAGTTACCTAGTCACCTGGTCTCCCTGCTACAAGCCTCGCATCCCCTGCTGACCTCAGTCAGCTGAAGCTATGGTGGGCCATGGAAGGCTTTAATCTGACTCAGAGGCTCTCCTCATTAAAAGAAACCCAAATCAGGGCTCCTGGATGGCTCCATTGGTTAAGTGTCTGACCCTTGATTTTGGCTCAGGCCATTACCTCACCGTTCGTGAGATCGAGCCCCCACCCCGTGTGGGGCTCTGTGCCGACAGAGCAGAGCCTGCTTGGGATTCTCTTTCTCCCCCTCCGTCCCCACTCATGCTCTCTAAAAATAAACAAACATTAAAAAAAAAAAAAAAAAAGAAACCCAAAATCTGATGCAGCCCTTGCAAAGGCTCTCTGCCCTTCTCTGGGTCAGCCCATTCAGGGGGTCCTGTGATCTGGCCCTGCCCACCTGTCAGCTGCCTGCCTCCCACTGGGCTGCCCTCACACTTCACTGGCAACACCCTCCCCCTCCAAGGCTGACTCAGGCAGCCCTTTGCAGCAAGTTTGTGACCACCCCTCCTGCTCTGAGCTCTCAGCTTCCCCCGCTGTTCAATCACAGATGGTTTCCATGAAGGGCCTGAGAACACAGGACAGTGTCAGCAAGTCCACCCCCAGAACCGGTGGTATCTGGCAATGTGGGTGGTGGGCACCTACTAAGGT